AGTGGCAGAATGGCTACGGAGAGCTTAGGGAATGGGCGGTCGTTGGTGTAGGTACCATTGAGACAGAGTGGATCAGCTTAAGGCTCGGTCACGCACAAAGAGGTGGATAAAGCACGTTTACTTGCTGTAGTATTATAGTGTTACAAAAAGATGCGCAGTCTACTCCGACTTTGGAACGGTGTGAACCTCCCAGTCAGCGCCGTCCGGGCCCTGGACTTTACCATGTGGTTTATCGTGTGTGAAAGGCCCTCCAGCGTTCGTGACACCACTCTCCAAAACCCCCTTCTTCTCGCCTGTCCGCAGGTATTCTAAGAAGGCGACCGAAGCGTCGATGTACTCCTTGAGAGCAACCTTGCTACTTAGCGTCGTACCGGTGACCATCTTCATGATCCAAGGAACGATAAGAGGCGCATCGGTACAAGACGGGTGAGCGGTACCCAACAAGGTCATGAACCACCCCTCCTTAACGTTATCGATGATATTCTTCACGGCCTCAAAGTGCCATCCTTCATCGTAGAAAGCCGTCTGCTTTTCTGTCCATTCTCCGCTCTGCATGACCAGTATCGGTACGTCGATGTCCTTGTTCAGGGGTCCAGATCCCTTGCCTGGGTCTAAGGCAATACCACCATTGATAGGCATTGCCTTTGAGCCGGCAGATTTCAGTGCTTGCATAGCCCCCGTCGCGCCGTATGAGTGACCTCCGACTGTGACTGCTGACAGGTTGAGGCGGTTCTTGAAGCCAGGCAAAGCATTCCGCGGTGAATCGGGCTTGAGGTTCACGACCGGTGCGTCACCTGCATTGAGTTGCGCAAAGAGTTTGATGGTTTCGCTGATCTCAGCTTCACGGAAGTTGAGCTGTGCGGCCTTGAGGTCGAGGTCGGTCATCGGCGGATCGGCTTCTAGGTCCTTGAGCTTCATGTGCCAGACTTTTCGCTCCGTACCATCAGGATGGTGGACGATGGTACCGGGTCCGCTACCGTCACGGTGTTCGACGGCAGCGACTACGTAGCCGTGGCTTGCAATGCTTCCCAGGTAGTGTGCATAACTCTGACTCATTCCTGCCATGCCATGCGTAAAGACAACGCAGGGCAAACTTCCAAGACCGTCGCCTCGTTTTAACTCTTTATGTTCTTGCTCTGCTGCGCTCATGATCTTTCCAAATTCGCCTGCACCACTACCATCTTCGCCCAAAATTTGCTCAGCACTGGAAAGGATTGGTGCATCAACGACACCTGGAATGACTGTGCTTGAACCAAGGAGCCAGAGGCCGAAGGTGAAGACCGAAGATAATTTCGACACTCCGGCAAGGCGAGCATAGCCTTCGCCAATAAGCGAGACAGGTTGAGGAAGCCACGGTCGTGCCCATGGTCGCTGGCTAGGCGGCGCCAGAGGCAGAGAGGATGGGTAGTATAAGGTGATGGCCAACGTATCCAGTTGGAAAGCCTTCTCCCCAGTCGCCTTCAGTATCGCATCATGGATGGTTCTCTTTTGGACCTCTGTCTCAACATCCAGTATGCCTACCTCATGGGGTCCGGTATAAGGCGGAAGCGGAGAGGTAATTGGGGTCAAGCTAAAGAACAAGAACCAGAAAAGTATGCCCGCAGATGTGATGAACAAAAGACGCCGCGGTGTGAGGCGTGAAGGCCTGGGTACAAAGCGGGCAGGCCCAGGTACAAAGCGGCCCATCCGGAAGGCCATGATGCGCGGCTTGTTTCGCAGTCTACCAAGGAACTTGAGAGGGCGTGCAAAGTCTAATGAAGGGCACAAACTGTGGCCAGAAGTGATATTTCGGGTTCCAGATATATCGAGTAGTAGGCGCAGTCCACATGGCAATTGTGGCGTATGAAGGCAGAGTGTCGCGTCTCGAAAGTGTTGGCCACTGATGACGTATGCGACATCGGAGATAAGACCGCCCAGATGCAGCACGCAACTAGTTGACACTTCCACCTTTCTGACACTCACGACACACGTCTTTGAGAAGCTGAACGACATCCCGCCGGCTACCTTACTACCCGTTCCGCTATCTTTGGATAAGACCTATCGATCCCAATCTGTCGAAAGTTGGGTCGATTGTTGATGACAAGAGCTGATGTCTGTGTAAGGTTTGCAGTGCGACATGTCTATTTCTTACACGATTGCCTCAAACCCTCACCTTATTAGGTGAAAAGGAATGATGATAAGTGTGAGTTGCGCAGAGACGGGTCTACTAGCGAGGATGAAGCTACGAGCCTGACTTGAATAACGCAAAGAAAGCACGACTGCAAGCTCGTAATGTGGCCTAGCATTCGAGCAGACATTAAAACGGAGTCCCCATCGATGTTGTAATCCTGGAAGGCTGTCATGAAGAGTGGGCGTACAGATGTGGCCGGTGCGATATGGTGTGTTGGCAGGTCATTGAGTATCAATCGTAGCGACTCCACCATCATACTGCGGCACAGCTGCGCGGCCTCAATGTTTGGATACTCATTGTTGAATCAGTTCAGCTGCTGGAAACCAACACTCATGGCTTAATTATTACAAACTATTGTATAACCATCGCACAGAAGCTGCTTCAAGCTGGACCAATATCCAAATCGACACTAAAGCCAGCTGGAAGTTAGAGAGACATACAGAAGTTGTTGGAACTGGCGCGATCGTCGTGGTTGCCCTGGGCGAAGACAACTCATCAGATGCAATGCAAGTCAAGCTGTCGATCAAAAGAGTAACCGGCGAAGTCCATACACCTCGCATAGGCTGAACGAATGCCTCAGAAAACCTCACGAACGTTCCACCGCACATGAAACAGCATCTCGAACGATATTCAGGCTAGTCATTCCGTCTCTTTGTGGACGATCTCCGCGCTTCTACCCTCGATTCGTCACAATGTCATCCTGAAGTCGCTTACACGTGCATATGCATGCGCACGCTTACTGATGCCTGCGGAGCACATAAAACACAGGTCCCATGTAAGAGCACAACCGACTTCGCTTCGAGCACGTTCAGCGGCACGGTTAATTCTAAACGACCTCTCTATTACCCGAGCCACACACTCTCTACGCCTTGGCCCATAGCAGGACCTATAACGAACGTCCCGCTCCGTGTGTATGCCCTGGTAGTTGACTTGCATGTGGCCGGGGTCTCTGAAGACCTTTACCCGGACGATCGTCTTCGGTTCGGTATCGCTATGGACTTGCGCGCATTTCGTCCCGGGGTTCGGATGGAGAACGATGTGGTTCCTGCATTTGCAATCTGTTGGTATTAGGCGCGGTTGGTTGCGCATGGAGCGGCAGTATAGGTAGAGGACCGGATCGAGTCTATGCTCCGGTGAGCAGAAGTTCGTCAGTACTCACCTTCAAAATGGATGCTTTGGTGGAGCTGCCATGTGGATAGAGTGGATCGTTCCCGGACTGCTTCCCATTTCAGTATCCTTACTATTACCACCCCAACATTAAGGACATGGTATTTGTCAGATCAGTATGTGCGCTTTGCTGCTCGCCTCCCCAGTTTCTGCGATACGCGGGTGCATAGACGAACAGAGTGCAGGGTAAAAGCCCTTGACGCCGCGGTCATCGTAACCATTTTTAACATGCTTTCCCAAACGGTCGCGTGTCCGCTGTGGACTGACTATCTGATCGATCTGATGGCTTCCAAAACCGTCAAAGGTCCTTAGAGGGCTAGACGCCGATGACCCACCAACAGCTAAGTCACCTCCGATACCAACACAAAAATCTCCACTGCATGTGTCTGTCGTTAGTCATTCGGTAGCACGACACCGGTCTCTTTGGGCGACTTCATTGCGAAAAGTCCGCCTCGAGGCATCGGCCCCGTAACCAATTGAGACGGGAAACCCACTTGTTTACATCCCCTTCAGGACGACGCGCTGCGTCTCGCCACATGCGCCTATACGCTGCAGCCGCCAACATTAATTGCGGCGTTGCGTCAATCTGCACCATTTCGTAGCCAAATGAGTTTCTGGGTAACACGGCATAGATGGAAAGCACGCGACAAAAGACTGGAGAACGGGTCCCGTTGCGCAGTTCACGTTTGACCAGTTCAAACCCATGCTCTATCAGGGGAACAGGTGTTGAACTATCCGAACTACACTGGACGTCTTCTCGCGGCTATGCGAAACCCTCGTGTTGCTCATTCAGGCTTGCGCGCGTTCATATTGATGACGTGACGTCGCGTCGCGCTCAAGTGACGGTATTGCTTCCAAGGTTTTCCCTGAGTTCCCGTCCAACCTGCATGTACTACGCCAATGGCGCGGGCGGACAAGCTCATGCAGGGCGGGCCTGCGAATCCGATGGAGAGCTGCGGCGCGGATCGTAAGGGTCGGATCTGTGGATCGTCGAAACGGTGGCGACGAAATCACAGGGAGTTGTGTATGTCAGGGTGACGCACCATGTACCTACGTGGTCCAGCGCAGCTGAGTATGGGCAAGTAACAGGCAGAAGCGTTGAATATCACAAATGTAGAAGTGTTGAAATGTTTTATTTGATTTGTACTGCAACGCTCGCAAGCATCTTTCAAAAAGAGAGCAAGATCGACTGTGACAACTGTCGAGTGTGATGATTCCAAAAACAGCTAGTAATTACTTCTCGCGCTCTTTGCGAAAGTTTCCTCTCCTCTGTAACATAGGAGATAATTTGTGCGCGGATATGGCAAGATAGGTCTATGTAATGAGACAAAGGTGCGCCGAAAAATGCATGCAAGCGAGCTGGTGAAAAGCTGACGCAAAGGAACCCGAAATGCGCAAAACTAAAAAGAGACCTTCCGACTTTTAGTCTTCCGTCAATGATGGGACTGCTAGTGATATGTAAGATGGGAGAGAACATGACTCGTCAATATGTACATCGAATGCAATTGTGTGTCGTTGATAGCGTGACATGAAGCATAGCCAGCCATGCTTCATGAGCCTCCTGGGCTTCGATTCAGGGACGCGGGGTGGATGGAGTTATTACTGTGTGCGTCGTGGGTGAGGTCGCTGATGGTCATGGCTTGATTTACATCTGCGAAGTATTTTATATGTTGCGTGGGGGTGTCGGGAAGAGAGACAACATAGGGGAGCGAGACTGCGCGGTGGTCGCTGCGCGGTTACGTAGCTTGGTTGGTTGATCCTCCTTCGGAGCAGAGACGGAAAGGAACTTGGCGGCACCTTCAGACAGGGCGTGTTTGTGCTGGCGCGCTGGTGCACGGGTGGAACGCTGCGACCCTTGGCGCGCAAGGTCGAGCGACGACTTGAGCTCCTCTTCGACAGTAGAGTGATTGGCACGCTGTGAGCCACGTCGAGCCAAATCAAGCGAGGCTCTGAGCTCGGTCTCAATGGAGCTGCGAGATTGCTCCTCATCTTGAGGCGCTTCGTCGTCTGAAGCGAAGAATGTTCGCCCTTCCAGGGTACGCCCTGGTGGCGTAATGTCATCGTCCTCCTTGTCTTCGTTAAGGAACGCAATCTGCTCTGAAAGCTGATCAGCTGCAAGACTGAAGCCAAGCGACTTGCGGCTACGACGGGACGGAATCAGCTCTGGGACACTGCCGGCAGAGCTTGCTGAGCGCCTCACAGGGGAGCTCCAAAGACCGCAGCTCTGAGAAGAGGACATGAGGCTGCTGTCATAAGAGCTTCGCCTACTTAGTCGGACGTGACTGCTACGCGCCGAGCTCGTCGTGCTTCGACCGGCGTCGAGCATTGGAAAATGCCGGTCGGACGCGGCGTACTCGTCAAGCAAGTCCTCATATGTGACTTCTCGTGTATCCTTGTATTCCTGCGGGACAAGAAGGGACGGGCTTAGCATGAAGCCAGTGTCGCCGCTGAAACGGTTGGCATGGAAGAATCCTGAGGGTGTCGGTGGCAGGCCAGTGCTGAGGGTGGATGTGGATATCGCAGAAGTCGGAACCAGTTCTGGCACACTCGATGTGCTGGGAACCAGCAAAGATGAGCGGAAATTGTCAGACGCGAAACGCTCTCGATCAGCGGAAGTGATTCTGGAGTTGCGACGATTGGCTTGCTCAGCAGAGGGAGTGTCGCAACAGCGAACACCGTCATCAGATACTCGATCCCACTCGAAGTCACAGTCAGCTTCTAGAGCGTTGTCGTAGATATAGTCGACATCTTCTTCCCATGACTCCTCTATTGCGCGCCATGTGTTTGACTGGCGACGCTGATAAGGTTTTCGAATGGACATCCTCCTCGGCATGCCGAATGAGCCCAGCGTGTCAGACATTTGCGATGAGGGTCGTGAAGCTGAAGGCTCTGCCCTTGGTGAAGCAGGAGACTGACCTCTACCCTGTGATCTAGAGGTAACGGGAGACCGCGGATTTTGAAAGGAAAACGATCCAAAGTAAGGCGATCTTGGCGAAGTCGGGGACTTCATTGGGGGCTGTGGTGCAGGTCTTGGGCTGACGAATCTTTCTGGTTCCTCGACAACATCTGCGAGACTGGGACTAAAGGATGGCGGTGTGGTTGCGTGAATGGCTGAATCATCAGGCGTCGTGACTGCATGGCCAAAGTACGAATCTTCTGATATCTCAGGTAGTATGTCCGGGGTGGACACAGCAGAAAGAGCAAATGAGTCCCAGATACCCGACTCTCGCTTCGACCGCGACAACCTACGCGGACCAGAAGCAGGCTCTTCGTACGCGAACTCAGGTGTACCGAAGGCGGGTCCCAAGGGAAGATGAGGCGACTGTATCGACGATGTGTGCGTATGTTTCCGAGGGCTAGGTTGGGAGAAGCTCTCTATAGATCGGGCTAGGCGAAGGGGTCGTCGCGATATTGGGAAGTGGGGGACAGTTTCGGAATCGTGACGAGGTTCTGGGCTGCGAGGGGGAGATGTGAAGCCTAGAGCAGACGTGGATCTCTCTTCTCCATTTGCCAGGTTTTCAGAAGAGAAGTTCCTGAAATGGACGTCATCGGATGGTGTGACGGGCAACTGCTGTTCGAGAGCAGATATTTGATGTCGGTCGGTGTGAGAAAGGTGCTGAAAGTCGAATGGGCTCGAGATACGGCTAATCAGACTCGCACCTATTGTCACGATAAGCAGAGGGCCTTGGATCAGGGAAGAGAATCACTTACTAGCATCCTCGCTTCTTTTGCCCTTCCGTAAGATTGATGATCGTCTTTCGCTGACGTCCCCTTCGAACTCATCGACGTTTATCATGGGCGTCTCGCTCAGCCTCTTGCCCTTCTTCCCGCGAAACAACGACCTCCTAGATCCGGTAGACTCTTTATGACTCTTGTTGCTGGTGTGTCGATGTCCAGGTGGTGAGCCATGCCAAGAAGCTTCATGATCAGCCATCTCGGAATGGCTGAGAGACAACAGCGAAGGGGTCATAGATGTCGCAGTATTGCTTCTAGACCGTAGATTGAACACGGAACTTCGTCTGGCCGGATGGGCTCTGTGTTGCTCGGGCGAATGCATGCCAGGATGAGTTGAATGCGTGGAGTACTGCTCTGACCAAAAGTCTGAACTTGCGGTAGGAATGGTAGGCCCAATGGCCTGAGAGTCGACGGATGACTGTCGAGACCGGGAGGCATCGGTTTTATGGAACGAAAACATGGCTTGGGAGCCTGAACGAACCCCAGAAAAATAAAGCCTAACGCAAGCAACGCGAACCGAGCAATGCTAGTATGGCGTGTGCAGGTCCCCACAAGTGGCCGGCAGATGTAGTTATGGCAACAACCATTGAAGTTGATGAGATGATCTGGGGAAACCTGTCGCGCGCACGCGAGCTCGGATGTTGTGAGTTCAGATGCCCGGGTTATACGCCTGCTGGAGGCGTTAGTGATGTATGCGAACGACTTGCCATTGGTACACAAGACCTGAGTTGGAGGGATCGAGGTTGGACGAGGCGAGATGATTGAACTTGGGCCAAGGCTAGGATCCAGGCGTGCCAAATGAGGGTAGAGGTATAGTTGAGATGCAATAGCAACCAAAGTAATATATGCGTACCTGGTCAAGTAGACAACTTATTTGCAGGGGAGGAGAGAACGTAAGAGCCTGAACACGGACCACTGCAGGGCAACGGCTGATGAAGGGGTTCTGCCCTCCGTGTGGGAATAACACGAGGATGCGGTCAGGGAGTTAGGGTCGAGTAAAGGTTGGCGAACTGCACAGACCGAAGTGAGACAAGCGGTGGTTGCGAATGAGAGGGAGTGGTGGACGGTCCAGGTAGCCGAGCAAAGATTCGAGTAAGGATTGTAGTTGCTGGAGAGCGATCATTGGCATATGCCGCAGTATTGCATGCCGTGACACGGGAACAAGAAGCTTTGTGGCCGGCAAAGTAACAGCAAATGTAGGGATGATCTCACTATGTAGGAACATGGCCGGCTTGGACGAGCAGCGGAGAGTATGTGGAGAAGATGGAAGGTGCTCAGTGTGCTCCACCAGGTTAGTGACATCCAGGACGAGCCAGGACAGGGCTCGCTGCGCGCCAGCAGGAGAGAAAGACATGGGTATCTGCCGCTGAGCGACGGCGCCTGAGCATCTGTTAGTGGCTGGGGGATAACGGAAACAGGGGTGCAGGAGACGGGGGATGCCCGACTTCACAAGGCTCGTGAGCCACTGACGATGAGCGCGCAAGTGAACGCGGCCCGACAGGTCGGCCTGCGCAATATAACGTTGCAGGGGCAGATATAGCGGGCGCTGATTGGACGTTGCAGCGAAATAAACGGTTAAATCTGCTGCATATCTGCTCTGACCACGTCCAGGCCCGCTATGCTACGAGGCCGTGAGGTCCAATTTGCTTGGAATGTCGGCCGTATGTTGTTGTGCATCCGAGAGGATTTGGCAACGCGTCGAAAGACGTGTCGTGGCTGGGAAGGTAAGCTCTCGCTGCTGTGCTCGCAGACAACGAAGCTTTCGTAGCACAGCACGCGTAAAATTGTGCTGACAATACGAGCGGGTATCCTCAGTCGGGGAGGGTATGATTTTGGCAGCTACGTACAGCATTTGTGCTGTTAGTGCCGAATATGCCGGTTCGCGATTTCAGGCGGGCACGGCGCAAATGCGTGCAGGGTTAGGCCTGGTGCTGGGGGCACATGGGTATGCATAAGGCCTAAGCATCAACATGTCTGCCACTTTGGACTGGATCTGTGGCTAAGCTCGTCGACAAGAAGCGCAACTCTAAGTATTGACGCATGTCGTCGTCGTGTACTGGCGCGGAACAATCAAACTGTCAGAAAGGGATCGCGATAAGCGTCCGAGCAGAAGACGAGAGGCTAGAGCATCGTCCCATCTGCAGATCTTCGCTCGTGAGACGGCGGAACCTGAAACAACCGAAGAGAGCCCCTACCATGGCCGACGATGTGTCCAAGGACTCGATACCCCGCCTCACTCAGACGTCTCAATCTACACAGGGCTCGTGGGCGGATCGATCTGAAATCGCGAACAGCCCTCGTCGAGGTCAAAGTCCATGTGGTGATGTCTCGGGCCCGGTAAGTTCCAAACATGTTTCAGAGCCCCACGACAGCGATGGCCGGGTGCTGGCTATCGTGAGTTGTGAGACCCCTCTGATGTGCCTTCCTGGCTGTCCCCAAGAGACTCAGCATGCACAGAGCGCCACCTTGGCGCAGTCGCACCGCCAGCGTAGCATAGCCTTGAGCTTGCGACGGTTCTGGGTACGGCGGTGTTGTAACACGGTCCTTCTGCTCGTATCATGCTGTGATGCAGTCGCGTACAACAGCAGTAAGGGCTGTAGGCCCTCGCATCAGCCGCTGTACCACGGCTCCATCCAAGATTTCCACAAACATGTGTGACGAGCGCCTATCTCTACGCTTTCTTCTTCTTGGGAAATGCGCCTGTAATGAGATCCAATACTTGAGGCGTGAGCCGTGTGGGGGTGGTGGGCCGTCAGCTACTACACCAGCTGCATGGACGCAATGTGAGCACACCGACTGATGTCAAAATGTCCGATGATGGTGTTACCGTCGTTGAGGTTCTTGTGCAGATGCATGAGGGTAGCCGGTCGTCGGCCTGTGATTTCCCCGAGGCGGGAGGTGAAAGCGTGCTCACGTGTGTTGTTGTGCCAAGGCTGCCTACCTAAGTAGGCCCATGGACTGGAAAGAACGCCCGCAGGTGCTCGGGAACATCCTCCACCATCACCACAGCTGTGCACACGACTGTGCACGCCAACTCCCACCGACGCCGGAGCTGAACACGTCTCTAGTCTCGATAGTTCCAGTGGTTCCTGGCCGCTGCGTGGTTCCCCTTGTTCCTGCAGTGGTCGCTGGCGGCTGGCCACAGATCGGCGAGAACTACTCGGTACCTCCACCTTGCTGCTGCTCCCACGCACCGGCGGCCCACGTCTTACGCACCACACCTCTGCGCTCCAACGAGCTGCTCCTATCAGTCCCCTCCCCGTTGTGTAGATGACGTTGGCTGCATAACAACTGCGCTACTCCTCACGAGAACCCCTCTAGCGGGCTCCTATGTGCTAGGCTCGGCGCCCGAACCTCCGGACACAATCTTCACCGGTGTATCCACACGCCCAGGTGGCTATCCATGCGCCGTAGTCCGCTTTCATGGAGACCGTTTGCACACAGGAATTACCTCATCGAGTCCAATTATAGGTGTTCGTCTTCGCTCCACTTTCTATTCGTTTCGAGGCATTGGGCAGTGAATTCGAGCTTCTCCAGGAACATGCTGGCACTGCCAAAGATCAATGACGGTACAACTCGTACCTCTACTGCGACGTGTTCAGGTTTGCATCTTCCGGAGGTCTGTCCATGCTAGAACCTTGTTTCCTGTACCTGCAGGTCGCAATTCCTGCCGTCTAACCCTTTTCGTCCCACCGGCAGACTTTAGCTGAGCCCCACCTAGTTGTCTTCCCCAATTCAACTTTAACTAGGGCAATTTGCAAGCTGAAGAACATCTGCTACAAAGCCGAATGCGGGTTCAACAAAGCCGATGCACACAGCAACTCGGAAGCCCTCCGGATCCGCCCTCGCTAGGCTTTATACTTTGGTTTCACCATTAAGGCGTACGGGATGCAACGGCTATTGACAGCGGTAGCCACGGTCTCGCTGTACTGAAATTCCAACAGCTGTAGGAGATCGACCCGGAACCTTAGGCTTTCCCTGACGGTATCGCGTTTCATATTTGCCTGTAACGTCTGGAGCCGGTTCTTGAAAGACCTTGAAAGATGATTCAGCAACTCTTGTTTCATGTTCAATGTTTTAGACCATCTGTACCAATGTTTCTTTTACAACTGCTGATGTGGTCTGTAGTGGATAACTCCGAACTGAGAACCATCCCACCAATGGAGTGAATGTGGCGTCTTCGCTTGCCCACCTTGGCAACTGGCGGACATACTATACCTCCATCCCGGTGGTTCGAGGCGGGCAAACGCAGCCACAGTCGTACCCGTCTCAACAATAGACGCTCTCGCCTTTTCATGCAACGGGGCACTGGCGGATCTATCGAACTTTATCTCACATTTTGTGGAGATAGCAGCGGATGCAAAAGTACGAGCACCTGTCCCATCAGCCTGATAGGTCAACCGGCGAGTACTCCAAAACGCGGTCAAGCTCCGGTCGGGACGTAAGATTCGCTTAACTCTAAGAAAGTCCTTGCAGGTAGAACTACCTAGGTACCTGGTTGTCGGTTGAAGAGCAACTCCCACATCTGGTAAGCGACCACTGTTTAGGTACAGCAGTCTATCGATAATCCTCACTTTAGCCTCTCTATGGTGTGAGCGTGGAACGAATCTGAGGTCCAGACGACCGTCAGCTTCGAATCTTGAATGGAGGCGTCAAGCTCATCATGCAAGAATACTCCCAACGGCCTATCTAAGTTCCGGCCCGCAGTCCTGAACCTTACGCAACATCAAAATTTTCTTTGATACATGGATTCGGAATGCTGTCACGGCACGTCTTACATATCGTCTCGTCATACACGTACTCTGAAGTCAACAACTTATGGGCGGATCATTTCGAGTACTCATGCAGCTCATCATTTTGTTTCTCCATGGGCGACTTGCAAAAAAAGAGGGGTAATATGCATGGACGGGAACTCCACCACTGTTCAACAAAGCTCCAGCCTGGGTTCAGGAGACCAGGAACCTTTTTTACCCTCTCATTGACGCCTAGATTTTGGGCTTTTGAGCAAGTTCGGATGCAAACAGTCTCTGAGAGCCATAGTATGCCATTGGGGGCGTGAACAGCTGGACAAGAGCGGGGCCACCTTGAAAACGAACACTCTTGTGTTCATACGCCGCATTTGATCGCACGTGTGCTTTGCAGCACTAATGGGTCATGTGGTGGTGAGAACCGACAGAGAATGCGCCAGCCAACACCGAGTGTGTACCATTGGCGCCTCATTGGCTATCTTCCAATTGCTATTATTCTGTCTCGCTCTTCAACATAGTACCGATAGAGAGAGAGCAATGACATCTTCTCTGTGCCAGGCTCATCTCTTAGGGGTGCGCTGGTGGCTCACGGGCCGTGAAACATGGATTAGAATCCTTCGGCTGGCGATCGAAGGGCCACCAACACCACTATGAGCCGCCCCGTGGCGTGAACTGCAAATTTCATCACTGGTCAAAGCGTTAGACGCACAGCGGTCCCGTGATGCACATTCCTCTTCGGCTGGTCCCTCGAAGGGGCAGGTGAGGAAGGGGCCAAAAGGGTCATCTTTCATAACCCTGGAAACCATGTGGGTATAGACGCCATGCGTGTCGCGCACACCGAACAACATAATACTGTAGTCGAACTGGGCTGAAGTGCCGACCGCCTTTTGCTTGTTTAGTTCATTCCGTCGAATAGGCCATACATCGGGATGCTGAAGTCAAAATCCGATCACACTTGACATCGTCGTCCAACAGAATTGAATACGAAGCCCTTAACGTGTGCATCTTCGAATAGTTCCTATGACGGATCAGCGCTCCTTCTAGTTCGCAAGGATCGAGACTAGTTTACTAATGTTCTTGTAATGCCTACAACTGCCGTTGGTCAATGCAGTAGAGAAAAGCAAATATATACAACAAGCCACCATACGAGCCTAATCTCGTTTGCGAACAAGGCAAGCATCGCAACATGCACGATGGTAATCTCAAGCTGCAGGTACGATCGAAATGCTGGCACACCGTGTCCAGGCCAGTCTGTGTCGGCGGAAAGAATAAGCAAAATGGCCCGGATGGTTTTGCTTTACATGTCGAAATCAGGTGACTTGCATGCCAACGCATGTATCTTTACATGAGAGAATGATAGAACTGTGGACTTGGTAGAAGAAGCATCATAGAAGACGGTTCCAGAACACCGATTCTACCCTGCGCTCCGCCCATACTAGGAGGTTTTTCATCAACTTTATTTTGCCGCCACTGTATTACTGAGACAGATAGTCTAGACGACACAACGAAGTACACCTCGCGTCGAGAACGCAGTCTGCTTGTTCATCAACTTGTTGCACGAACCAGGGCCATGCGGTAAGCTTGTAGCGCTGAAACGGTGAGTCGGCGTGAGTGGTGGTCAAGCCAAGAAGTGAACAGCCATACCCTACAATTCGGCCGAAGACCACACCACCCCTAACCTCCGCACACGCTCTGAAGAGCACCCATCATGCCATGTTACAACTCCGTGTATGCCTGCCGCGCCGATCACGGCACATCCCAAGCACCACGTCGCAACCATACTTCCGCAAACGGGCTGACCCTCCCAATCAAGCAACAGATCTACGACTTAAACATTACCCCAATCGAACACACGGCTAGATGAAGCCGTTCCCCAAGGCCGAAAAAGTGACAGAAGTGACAGCACGCATGTACAAAAACGTGCGCGCCGTTGCGCGAGTCCGCGTGCACCGAAGAGAAGCCGTGGTATTACACCGACTGGATGATCGCTTTCGCTCCGTTTTCTCGACGTTGACACGAACCCTCGCCTCCCCCTACCTGCCCTACCCCTCCCCTGTCGTGAACATATCTCCCGTGTCCCGAGTGTGTGGTGAGTTTGAGATCAGAGCGCTGAGGGCTTACGAGTTCGATATGGTTTTGAGATGCAAGTTCTAGATGTATGACGAGGCGCCGAGTGGTGAGTCTGGCCGTCTGAGACACTGGCGGGGATGCGGCAGGTTCCAGTTGGGTATACTTACGTCTTCGGTGTGCGTACCTCGTATGTCGTTGTTGCTTACCAACGCAGGGAACCTGAGGGGCTGCCGGGAAGTGGAGGACGAGCTGACGACCGTCTTCTTGTTGGGACGAACAGGCCGGGGAGACGATGGCTCGCTTGCTGCTGGCGCTCGTGATCGCCTTGCTGTGGGCAAGCGAGTGAGGCCGTGGTTTCTTCGCACTGATGGCCCTTCGAACCCAGAGTGGTGATCTTCGGATACTAAGACCGAATGTGAGCGCAGGGTGGAAAGTAAGGCTGACGTGCTCGTTGGGGAAACTTCGGGCTATAGGTGATATGTCATGAGTGTATCAATGCGCACTATATACCACATTCTTTGATAAGGGTAAGTCGTGAGCTCCGTCTCGAAGACAACTCCCCTGCTGCGATGAAAAAGGGGAGAGGACTAGTCGTACACATCGATCGCCGATTGAGGAGTGACATCAAAACAACGCGGTTACTACCGAGACCACTAGATTGGAAAATATGGCGGTTTTCATGTATATGATCCTTCGCGTAACGTCCAGGATATCTGCAGCGTTTGGCTTCCACGACATTTCCAGAATTCAGCAAGCTCTCGCGTACTTGCGGTTACGAATCGCGCGATCGATAGCCTTGGAGAAGATGTTTATTTGATAACTCAGCCTCCATCCTGCGATTGTTAGCGCGTTGTCCTAGTCCTGTAACTTGGCCGAGTGGGAGTACGCTTCGTGGGCTTCACCACAACTGCGGAACATAGACGAGCTGATGAGGTCAGTTTGGTTCATACGGCTCTCCGTGCCTTATTGTGATATATGTCCTGCGAAGATTTCCAGGCAGCTGAACGTGTTGTGGAGCCCAAACCTCACTGGCATCTGTCGCCGTCCATCAGCGATCCAGCAACTCAACAAGGTAACCGGAGATGATGAAAGTTTTGTTTGCTCGTTCTGTGTGTTATTCCATATGTACAATCCCGCAGTAACGAAGCCTGAAGCAACCGGTACGCCCTTGTCTGTATGCGCTTCCTTTCAACACCACCTCTTAGTGTCCCTCCTCGTGGTGGCCCTTATCCTCGAAGAACAGTTGCTCGGCAACGAGGTATCCAGCGAATGCAACGGTGGCTATGCCGAGGCCGGGGAAGGAGCCCTTGAAGCGGTTGAAGCGGGTGAAGGGTCCGGTGTATCGCCATTGCTCACTGGGAAGGTAAGTATGTGTGGGATGGGGCATGTCCGTGGTATAAAGCGTACTATCGTGCCCATGGGTCGCCCTTGGTACCGTTCGCAGAAGCAGCAGCGAACTTCTTGGGGTCGAAGCCGGTGATGGAGGGGCGTGGTGCCATGGTGATGGAGCTGGCATAGTCAGCAATTGTTGCGCGCAGAGAAAAACATATCAATTGAGCGCGTATTGCTTGCTTACGTACTCTATGAGCCTCGTGAGCAGCTGGTGTGAGGCAAGGCGGTTGTGGAAGCTGGCGTCGGTGGTTCCTGGACCATCGTCAGTCGCATCTCGACATGTCTTGGCGGCGAGCGATCATACGCACGGCCTCCGCACGTCGTCAACTGCGGTTGCTCTCCCCACACCATTCACACATCGCCCGCACCTCATCGCTATCACCACCCCACACGCGTTCGTATAGCCCGAGGATACCTACGACTTTCGCGAGCTTCATCTAGGCATCCAAGAAGATCCATCATTCCGTCACCTGCACGAACATCCACGGGATCCACCTCACCCACGCACACGCGAATCGTCGCAACCACTACAGCAGCTTCACAATGCCGCCTCACGGGGGCCGCTTCCCCGGTCACAACCTCTCGAATCCCTTCGCGCATCTCTCGGGCCCAATACCACAGCAGCAGCAACAACCGCTGCACCAGCAACACCAGCAGCAGAACATGCAACATGGAGGCTTCGGCGGCGGCAACCAGGCACACAATCTGAACCTCTTCGGCCAGCACCAGGGCGGCTTCCAATCAAATGCACCGCTGGGTGGTGGACTGGGCGGAGCCGGGCTTGGGGCAGCAGCAGCAATTGGCGGGGCAGGCGGAGGCACAGGACTCGACGGGCATGAAGCGCGTATGAGATTTGCCCACGGCGCGCAAATACAAGAGAATGCTGCTCGTGGTCAGGACGGCGCTAAAGGCATTGCAGGACAGCGGATACGGGAGGTCTGGCGGTCAAATCTGCACCAGGAGATGGACATGCTGCGCTCGCTCATCGACCAGTACCCCTACATCAGCATGGTCAGTATGCCATTTTCCTACCAGCCGGTCGGACAGCTCTTGCTTGGGAGCTTTGTCTGATGCGTGTAAAGTCAGCCGTCAACGGTGGCGCAACGTCTTCTTTTGATGGGGTAGTTTCCATTCTACCTCTCCCTCTCCTTCATGGACTTCATGCTCACTCTCTGAATAGGACACCGAGTTCCCCGGTGTTGTCGCGCGGCCTATCGGAGACTTCAACTCGAAAGCCTCATATCACTACCAAACCGTGCGCTGCAACGTCGACTTGCTCAAGATCATCCAACTCGGCGTCACCCTCTTCAACGTACAAGGCGACATCCCGCCATCGCATCTCGACATTACAGACCTAAACTACAAGCCAAAATCGTTGCAGCGACATGCAAACAACATCGTCGTCTGCCCATGCACATGGTCCTTCAACTTCCAGTTCTCCCTCGAAGATGACATGTACAACGAGGAGTCAATACAGATGCTTAAGAAGTCTGGCGCCGATTTCGAAAAGCACAAGGAGCTGGGCATCGACCCTGTCGAGTTCGGTTCATTACTCACCACATCGGGCATGACTCTGTCGGAAGATGTCAACTGGATATCGTTTCATAGTGGCTACGACTTCGCATACATGCTCAAGATGCTCACCTCACAATCGCTACCCGAGGATGAGGATACGTACCGCAAGCTCGTCAATGTCTTCTTCCCCAAGTTACTCGATGTCAAGTACCTTTGGCGACATGCGAACAATCTTGTTCGGCGCGGTGTTATCGGATCGACTGCGACCAATATACTCAACAATCTAGGCACAAAGTCCGGCCTTCAAGATCTCGCCGATGAGCTCGGTTGCCAGCGTGTGGGAAACTCACATACAGCAGGATCCGACGCATGGCTGACAGGAGTCGTTTTCTGGGACATGAAAAAGAAGATCTTCGACGGAACCATTCCCGACGAGATGAGCGGCCACATGTGGGGTCTCACTGGTGTCGGACCACCAGCCAGCGCAACAGCGCAACAAGCTGTCATTGCCGCACAGGGGGCTTCGCAAGGCTTAACAGGCTTCCAGCAAGGTGTGAACAACACCTTCTATCCCGGAAACGCAAGGCACGGTGTCGACGGCCCAAGCACACCCACAAACCACCCAGCTGGTCTGGCGTCGAATACTCCTGGACCCACAGGCATGATGACCCCGGGCGGATACGGCGGCTACGGCAACAAGTAGGATAGTGGCCATTTGCGGAATGAAGGAGAGTCTTCCAAATCTCCCCTTCTGAGCCCAGGCCGTGGTGACTTGTCATACAGCGAGTTTTTGCCAGGCAACAATTCGCATGGTGCCGGTGGCCATTTTGACAAAGGAAGATAGTATCCCGAAAATGCCTTTCCAAGGCTGAGCCTTGTTCGTCAGCCACACAATCGCTTACCCAGTGGCCATTGGCATGAGGGATATTACTATCCCGAAAACCCTGTTTTGAGACGGCATCGTCGTGGCCGATCGCACAACAGTCACTCATCTGGTCCCTCTAATCATCGCGGTCGCGGAGGTCATTCTTGGACTGGCTATCGAGGTGGCGGCAACACGGGCGTGCCACATAGTGCTTGAACGAGGAGGGCGCATTAAAAGGTTGAGAGGAATTATCATCGTCTTGGGGTGGTTTAAAAAGGGAATCGGACGGGGTGGCTTATATTGTACGATACCCGGGTTAGTGTGCAGTGAGTGCGGACCGTACTAGATCGTATGGTTAATGTTATTCTTGCATTCATCCACCACTTGTACAGACATGCGCGTGACATATATTGAGTGTCCTGGTCGATTCCCAGCACGGGGCTGGCGTAGATATCACCAACGAATCGTGCAAAAGAGTATAGTATTTGCTTGCAACAAAGCGAGAAAATTGTTGTAGACGAGTTCTCCAGTGTGGGACATCTACATATTGAACCTCGTCCTCTGCTTCTCCATGCGGCCCTTCCATTGCCACTCCTGGCCACTCTTGAATTGGATACCGCGATCTATTCTGCGGAGTTTGAGCGTCATTCGCGGTCTGGCCATTTACGTTAGCAGTCTACTCCCAATAACATGTGCGAAGATATAGTAGAACTTACCCAATCTCCTGCATACCCACTTTGACATCCTCCACACCCGGAAGCGGCTTGCCATCCGACCCCACAATAGGCTTCTCAGTCTCGCGCTTATCCCTAAACACATAGCGATGTCTCCTCACGAAGATGTAATCGCGCTGATTGTGCAGCGTGAGGACCTGGCGCCCTTCCAACTCTGGTTTCACAGGGAACATGTTCTGGAAGAGGTGGGCTGTGAGGATACCGAGGGGAGTTTTGAACTGGTTCAGGATGAGCTCAGGGTAGTGTCCGGTGTCGTTTGCGTGGCGGGGCAGCTTCTTTCCCTCGACCCAGTTTGTGAGGGAGAAGTGGAAATGAGGTCCGTCGGGCAGGGTGACAATGTCGAGGCCGTCGGGCTTCTTCTCGTGCTCGGCTTGCATGAGGATGACGAGGGCTGTGTAGCCGCGTGCGCTGGCGAAACCGGCGATTTCCTTGACGCTGTATTTGTGCGCGTGGACATGCTGGGTTCGTCTTATGTAGGTGCTGTTGGGGAAGAGGGAGGTGAGGATTTCGGCTTCTTTGTGGAGCGTCGAGTTGATGCTGGTTGTGATGAGGATCTGCGGGTCGTCGGTGCGCGGGTTGAATATCGAGGGGAACTTTTGCTTGAGGAATTCGGGCGAGAGTTCGAGGTTTGTTGCTGTGGATGTGGCGCTGGGACTGGAGGCGCGTTTCCCGGGTTTGGACGAGGCGGCGTCGGAGTCTAGGTCGGAATCGTTGGAGTCGAGAGACGGTTCGGATTCGGAGTCGTCGAGCATGCTGTCTGCTTCGTCGTCCTGGCTGTCGTCCGAGTTGGCTCCGCCTGCTTTTTGGTCGCGCTTCTTCAGTTTCGCTAGTATGCCCTCGTCCTCACCGTCCTCGCCGTCCTGTTGTGCCGCTTCCTCTTGCTCCACCTTTCTCCTCTTTGCCAGTCTCTCCACATCAATGGCCCAACCCAGCGCATCTTCTTCGTCGCCGACTGGTTCGTCCCATACTCGCTTGCCGTCGATGGTCGCAGGCTTGTTTTGTGCTAAGCGCTCCTCTCGTAGCGCAGGGTTCTTCTCTTCCTCGCGCTTGCGACGGAGTCTCGCGTCTCGTTTTTCTGATTCGCGCGCCTTCTTGATGGAGAGATGCGCCGCCTGTCTGCGCAGTTTGTTCTTGGGCTTGATCCCAGAGGCGACATTGGGGCTCTTGGAGAAGGCCATGTTGGAGCGGGGTCACGTTACTGGTCCGTATCGGAGTGTGTGGTCTGGTATGTGTCGCACAACGGCCGTGGAGTTCGCAAGACGGTGCTGCTCAACTTTTCGGTGGAGCCGCGGCCTGTGCTTTTCCGCAATCTTGGCGCGCCACACATTAGCAGAGCCTCAGGCGTGTCGAGATTCGAAGCATCGCTTTTCTTGGTTTCCGTGCCCGAAGTTTGTAGCCCTTTTGTACATTAGACCGCGTCGCTCATTAGTGTTCTCTTGTCGCATGCAAGAGAGGAGCCGTAGTATATGCGCCGCCTAATTCCAGTGCGCGTCCCCCAACTTGCTGCGCGTCTGCCTCTACGTAGGCCCGTCCAATATCGTGCCCCACCTCCGCCGACTCATCCCACCAAGCACTTCTCGTCCACACCACCCCTCTTGCGATACAAGGTCACCCTGCCCCAGCGGAAGAACGTCGCCATGCCGAGCGATACCACGACCCACAAGGGCAAGCCCTTCGAGCGCGCTGCCTTCGAGCAGCTTATGAAGGTGAGTGCAACGGCCCAAACACTGTCCAATTGTGCTAACAGCAGCCATTGTAGCACAAATACTTCTACGCGCCCTCGTTCGACATCTACGGTGGTGTCGCCGGCCTCTACGACTACGGCCCGCCCGGCTCTGCCCTCACCGACAACATCGTCGACATATGGCGCGAGCACTTCGTCCTCGAGGAGGACATGCTCAAGGTCGAGCCCACCATCCTCACCACACACGAGGTCCTCAAGACCTCCGGCCACGTGGACAAGTTCGCCGACTGGATGTGCAAAGACCCCAAG